ACCCATCCAATCATCTATCCCTCCATCGAGACATCCTTCCACACATCCTTCCATCCACACATCCATCCATCTATCCATCCACCCACCCATCCACTCACCCACTCATCCATCCACCCATCCATCCACTTACCCACCCATCTATGCACCCATCCACCGATTCATCGATCCATCCATCCACCCACCCTTTCATTTATCCATCCGTCTATCCGTCCATCCATCTATCCATCCACCCATCCACTGATCCACCAATCCATCCACCTTCCCATCCATCCATCCATCCATCCATTGATCGATCCATCCATTCATCCTTCCCCTCATCCATCTATCCACCTACCATCCATCCATTCATCCTTCCATCCATCCATTTATATATCTATCAATTCTTCACATCATCTATGTATCTATCATCTCTGTATCGTCAATCTATATCAAGGTATCTATGCATTTATCATGTATCTATGTATCTGTCTACCCATCCACCCACCTTATCTGTCCATAAACATCAATAGGCAAGTAAATTAATGTCTGTGTGTACCCTACTGGGTTCTGTTTCTCAGGAGAACATGGACTGATACAGCCCCTTTGAGACTAGAGCCCATAAGGACGTTACCCTTCTCCGGCGTGCTCGCGGCCACCACTGTTCCCCATCTCTCATTCACCCTCTGCTTCTCCCCCTTCTAGGAAAAGCAGCGTTCCTGAGGGCAGAGGGATAGAAGGTCTGGCCCTCCTTCCTCGCTCTGCCCGGGCTCCAGGTCACCTGCCCTCAGTGACTTCTACCTGTAAAGATCGTCAGAGCAAAACCCGCTGGGTCCTGTCACCTTGCTCTGTCTTCTCCAGGAGCCCCATGGCAGCACAGACGTCCAGAAGCTTCTCCGTTCCACACACAGAGGCGTCCACTTTGCTGGCAATATCTGGAGCCCTCTGGGGTGCTTCATCTTTTAACCAATCAAACACCTTCAGCTTGCAAGCAGTGAGCAGGGCCTGTTAAAACACAAGCGCAGAGAGACCCATGAAGTCACTTGTCGAGTACTTTTGACTCCCGCAGACCCAAAAGACGCAGACCAATGTTGTCGAAAGTATTCCACGGGGCCACCGAGCCTTCTTTTACAGAGAACGCTGGGGATCTGGAGGATCAAGTCTCCAGCTGTAAAACAAGGCGTACACAAGGTAAAAGCACATCAATGAATATCATGCAGAAAAACCAGCCCGTGGGAGAAGAATCAACGTGCTGCAGATATGGGCTGAGTTCCAAACCCGTATGTTGCACCCCTAAGACCCCCAGTCCCTCAGGTCAGGATGTGACGGTATGCATAGGTAGGGTTTGAAAGAAGTGATTCAGGTAAAATGAGGTCATTTGGGTGGAGCCTAATCCAATAGGACTGGGGTCCCTATAAGAAGAGATGAGGACACAGACACACACAAAGAGGGATGACCCTGTGAGGACACAGGGAGAATTTGGCGTCTCCAAGCCCAGGAGAGAGGCCTCAGGAGGAACCAGCCCTGCCCACACCTGGATCTCAGACGTCCAGCCTCCAGGACTGTGGGAGAATCA